TACCCCCTCTTATTGGAACTTGATAGCATCCCTTCAAGGTAGACTTTATTCATTTCATTTTATACATGACTTAGTCACTCGACACATGTCACTCAGCTCAGTAGTAGACCTGCCTGACTTGAAAGCCTATGACATTTGGAAAATTTCAACACCCAGAGGGAGATTTGATTAATTATCCCATAAAGACCCTTCCAGCCTGGCTGGTGTGGCTCAGTGGTTGAGCGTTAACCCATGCACCAAGAGGTCACCGGTTCAATTCTGGGTCACGGCACAAGCCCAGGTTGTGGGCCCAATCCCCAGTGGGGGGCATGCAGGAGGTGGCCAATCGGTGTTCTCTCTCATCGATGTTTCCATCTCTCTCTCCCTCTCCCTTCCTCTATCTAGAATCAGCAAATCCTGGTCTATATCCTAAAAGTCCAAACTGATTTCAAATATTGAAATAACTAAGAGAGAGCAATGGGGGAAGATGGTAACTGGAGAAAAGCTAATTAACATAGAAAAAATTACCAAAAATATGATGTAAAAGTAGAATTAGAGGTCATTGAAATTTTTGCAAAATTACAAAATGTCCATGTCAAACAGGCTAGATGTGAGAACTTACTTGTCTGGTAGTTTCTATGGATTGGATTCTTTTCCGGCAGAAACAATAGTAGACAGTCACCAGCGAGAGCAGAGACACGGTTCAACACGGTTAAACTTCGTGTCAGTGATCAGTATTTGTTTGAGCTGTGCAAGCTCTGAGCTACGCCAGAGGAGAAAGAAAAATATTTCCTCTCCTTTCCCGAGGCCCAGAAACAACTCTGTATACAATTTTGAAAAGTTGGAATATTGGGAAACGAGCCAGCCAACTTCTCCACCCGAATGTGGCATGTTCTAGCCAGAAACATTGAGCGGGCTTGAGAGCAGAAAGACAAAAACTATGAATTTAACGAGTCCTGCAAAATACCACTTTTATGTGCATGTAGAATAAGTGGATGACCTACCCAACATTTAGACCAATAATCCAATTATTTTTTGTAATCAAAAGGATGAGTTGCACCTTGAAAGTTTGTCATTTACTATCAACAACTAGAACTTGGATTACTTAGCCTATGTTACTATATAAAACATTCCATGTAAGGATTTTAGACAAACTTTGATATTGGCCATGTGGCTTCTCTGTACCTGGTAGAGGTTTTCTTCCTCCTATATCCTTCATTGCCGTCTCCAGCCCTGAGGCTGCCCTCCGCACTGCTGACCCAAATCCTGCCATTTCTTTACAATGCAGGTTGAGTTTCTCTTTCTACATGAAGCTTGTCCCAGTTATATTTTCTATATGGTTTCTATGACTATCTGAAATTCACTTATTTATTTCATTCCAAAATGTCTCCCCATCATCTTAATACAAAGCAGATTGTGTGGGGCCAGGGATTTGGCATTATTCACTGTTGCATTATTAGCACCAAGATCGAGGCTTGGACCATAGAAGCCGCTCAGTATTTAATAAATTAATGTCTTTAGACTAAATTTTTAGCCCTCTTTGCAGACTAAAAGTACTATATAATTTCAATGCCTATAAGACTAATGCCTAATATAGTAAGATTTTTAAGAGCAGGATTATATCTAATATATATATAAATGAACATACATATATATTATGTTTGAATTGAAGTAATACACATATTTTACACATATAATTTTACCTTGCAATTACATCTAATTAGCTAATGGAATGTACTAAAGGAGTTCTTTGCATAATACACTGGTCCTGAAGGTGGACCATTATTTAGAAAGTGATAATGAAAAGAAATGAAAATAGCGTGTAGTTACCTTTTTAGGTATCAATGACTGACAAATGCCTGACTTTCATATCTGCTGCTAAAGTTTTGTTTTTAGGTAACCAATAGCAGTGATCTCATGATAAGAACTTGGATTTTATTTGAAAATGTCTTTCCAAGTAAATAAATTTTACTCTAGTAGGAAGATAGAGTCCATTGCCTTTGAAACTTCTAATGAAATCACTTTCAAACCTTCGTCTCCATTATTTACTGAAATAATTGGGGCAATTTGATCAGGTGGCCATGTAGCACTCAATATTTATTAGGTATGTGACCTGGCTTTTCCAACTTTGGTAACCCCACTATCAGGCACAGTTTGGCGTTCACTGAAATTTACATAGTAGCTTAATCAGTGTTTTCCTCTGTCTTTTGACAAAGGTTGATTAGGTTCGCTGCCCATAAAATTTAAAGATATGTAATGAATTTTTAATGTATTAAAATCTTTTGTACCTGAGGTTCTTTATTTTCTCTTTAATTTGCGATGCTCAGTTTTAACCTTGTGTCCCTGTTCCCTGTGTGCCACCAGGATAGTCAGTCAAGCACAGTGGGTCCCTCAGATTTCCACGCTGGAGTTCCTCATTTGACGTATTCTTTTCAAAAAGCTTCCAGTCTTTGTCCAAGGATTCTATTTGCTCAATATTTATTAAAATTTAAATTATACCTTGCTGACTTTAAAAAGCGTGTAGGATCGCTTTCTATAAAATCAACATAAAACATCTTTATTTTCTACAGAATTCATAATCTCATGTTATTTTTCCACTTACTTTTATGGGGTTTTTTGTTTTGTTTTGTTATAACAACGTCCTTTCTACTACCCTCAGTTTGAACTACACAATTCCCCAATCTGCTGGGTTTTGCCTTGAATTCTCCTATGCTTTCACCAGTCTGGGTTCACTCTGTCACAACAGTGGTCACGTTCCTGAGGAGCGGGGCCCCTGTCTGATTTAGATGAGCTCCTCTGCTGCACTTATCAACGTCCTCAACATGCATTTCATGTAATTGACTGTTTCCCTATTGGACCAGTGATGACCTGTGTTCTTCCCACTGCCTGAGTATTTCCTGTTTGTAGGTAAAGGAGACACAGGAACTTTCTCTAGCCACAGATAAAATGTGTGTCTTTACCTTGAGGAGAGAAATTTTCCCCAGGAGTCGTTCAGCAATGTCTGGTTACCAGGTCCCCGAAGACTCCCTGTCCTGAGTTTTACGTAGCACTCACAACAGCTCTCAGAAGTGGGTTTTCAGTTTTACTTCTGAAGAAATAAAGCTTAGGGAACCTTCCTGGCCCAAATATGTTGGGCATGAAAGAACTGGGACTTGAAACCCAGTCTTCTTACTCTAAGTATTAGTATTCATTCCAGTATCCACCCCACACCAAGCTGTGTGAGGGAGCTTCTGTAAAATCGAGTCTGAAGCCAGAACCAAGCCTCAGACAGAGCTGTTTTTTGGCCCTGTTGCTCCCTGCAAGCATGGCGCACGTGTGCGATGGGAGCCGTCAACACGGAAGCATCCACCTCGTAATTACTTGGGTACCTACCCTCTTATCCTTGGGCTGGAGAGTCCTACCACTAACATAAAATTGGGCACCCCCTGAAGGGCCTGTGGTGGCCAGGGGCACGGGGGAGTGGTGCAGTGTGAGCACCTGGTGAGCCTTGGAGAAACCTGTCCTCGGTCATTGCTGAGTCCCACAGTGCGTCTGTCCGTCCGCAGTCTCTACCATTGCAAGGCCCGAGGGCTGCAAGCATGGTCTCGTCTAGTTAAGATTTCCTGGGGTCTAATGCAGCCCCTGGCACACAGTAACCGTATTTGCTGAAAACAAGCTGCTTTTGACACAAAATATAGTCGATTTTAAAGTTTTAGAATGTCATATAAACATATATGAACCAAAAGAGATACTAGAAAGTCTCTGCCTAAATGTTGGTATTTGGATTCAGTAAGGCCTCTTATAAATTCACAAAATTCAGGAGTTCTACCCCTTAATTCAGAAAGGTCTATGTCAGGTCGTATCTGACTAAATGTAAGTGTTGGCAGTATGCAAGACTAAGTGAGAAGAATATTCTCAGGTTTATACCAAGCTTATCAAAAGCCTTAAAATGATCATTAAACATTTGAACTTTGCAGGCTTAGTGGGAATTAAGACACTGGGTCAGTGTGTACCAGTGAGTGCGTTTTAATATCAGTATATGCCAAGCACTCACTTGGAAACCACTCCGAACCCAAATGGCCTTCTTGAAATTATTCCCCAAATATTAACCTTTAGAAAGTGGGTGAAGACCAGCACTGCTCCAACATGCCGTCCTCCGAGCTGGCGAACTCAGGCCGGGGCCACGGCTCACGCCTGCGGCCCCCCTCGGACGGACTGTCCATGCTGTCAATACTCTCACTAAGTCTCCTAGAAAATGTGCAAAAAGGATTTCCATAGAGGCCTTTGGAGATTTCCTGTGTCTTCGTGTGTAATCGGCCGGATCAAGTAACAATGAAGGAAGACGAAAGAAGGGGGTTTTGTTTTACATACTTTGCTCCTCCTGGCCGTTGAAAGGGAAAAAGAATAAAAAGGGAAATGATACCATACAGATGATGTCAGCGTTAAATTAAATCAATGCCGTGCGTTTGACTGTGGCAGCCATAATCTTTTGATTAGTGAAGAGATTGTTGGTAATGAAGTACATTTGTAAGAAATATTTTTAGTTTATACTGAATATGTGTATAAACTGTGAGAAATGCATCTAATAAAATGATAGATTTAGAAATTGCCTGCCACCTAAATTCACGCTTTTCAAATAGCTATTTATAGAAAGAAAAGTGATATTTAAGCTCCCATAGTAGAATATTATAATCTGCTCTATATTACCTTAGGTAATAGTCCCATATTTTAAAATAATGTTGCAAGCCATTCAATTATTTATTCACACCTAAGTTATATAAATTGGAAGATTTTGGATTGTGCAGGAAAAGAATTATTTTCACGAAAGTAAGACCTCACTGTCATGGAGTAAAGAGATCGCTGTGAAACAAGTTATGCTATAGATAAAAATAAACCAAACCAACATGAATTTTTAATAAACAAAAAAATATTTTATGGAGACATTAAAAACAACTATTAATTTTAATCTTTTCTGGTACGAAATGCAGCCTCCGTGACTCCGGCCGTGCTGTATGTTTCATATGTATTTCTCCTCCTAATAGGTCCTCCGCTCTTACACTGAACTCTCCACGGACCTGGACGACGACCTCAGCCTGGGGAGAGCCTATGAAGCCATAGCCAAAGTCCTGCAGAGGTGAGTTAGCACATCCTTGTCTTCCTGTCACTGTGAATCCACTCAAGTGTGAAAGACTTAAATTGTTTGAGGTCTGTCGCTTTCCATTACTGCCTGCTTAAATTTTAAGCAGTGCCCTTCTTAAGTGACCCTTTCATCGGAAGTTATTTTAAACCAATGCGGTATTTTGAGATACGTACCTAAACTCTTCTTTGTCTATTCCTCCTTTGTATTATTTTATTTTTGATTTTCTGTGTGTATACTGATGACCTTGAATGAAAGGGGGGAAATCAGGTCACATCTCACAGGTTAAAAAAAGCAGAGAGCACAGAAATATGGAGTACGCTTCAGTAACTGTGCCTCCCCTCGCCCTTCCAGACCCCTCCTGGAGCTAGCTCTCCAGTTAGCTGCCGTCATGCTTCTTCCATTAGGACAGCTCTCCTTTGAGCATATCTGGAGGAGCAATTGGGTGCAAAAACAACATTCCCCAAATTTCACTGAAAACAGACAATTTAACACAAGTATACATGAAAAGCTTCTGATACAAATTTTTCCATGGAAAGTATATGATTGGCCCTCATTGTATTGTGTTCATTGTATACTCCATTTAATTACTGCGTTATATAGAAGTGTAATTAGCATTATAATGTAAGCCAAGATTGTCTAAGAATAAGAAAAGTTATCAAAGTGAAGGCCTTGGTGTTTGGTGTGTTATCTTATATACAAGATATGGCTGTTTAATAATGATAGCAGAACTAATAATAATAGATATAAATCATGTCAACTTCTCCTTTCTTCCCATTTATGTTTCACTTGTAAATATATACAGGGTGGTGTTTTAAAAGGTAAAATTGTTATGTGAAAGGCATTTCAAGCATTGCATAGCTAGTGAACTAAAAGTAGATCATCGCTATATGATCACCATCGCCAACATAATAATCATTAAATATTAGAGAAATAATGAACGACATACCAAAATCCAATGCCAGTGAAACAGAAGGTGCCCCACAAAATGCCAGAGGAAGTGCAAGGCAGTCAGCGCTGGGTGCAGGGGCAGGGACATGGACAGATGCATGAGGAGAGAATGGATGTCTACTCAGGAAGGCAGAACCACGGAGTGTCATGGTCCCTCCAAGTAGAGATTGCTGACCAGCCCACAGAAGGCCAGCCCAGCTGTCCCTTACACGTACACTCTACAAACAGCAGCCAGGAGGAAGCCAATGCTTGGACACAGTGGAGAGATTAGTAAATATTCAATTTAGTGCCTACTTGTAATACACACACTCTGTGCCCTTTTGTCCAGCTCCTTTTGATTATTAAATGACTTGATTCTGATGTTAGCACTGTGTAGAATCAGTAAAAGATGGTTGGATGATTTGTCTTGCTTTAGAGTAGCAGACCTGGCCTGAGCCCGTGCAGTTAAATAAATACACCCCTTAACATGTTTATAAAATAAAATGGCATTGTGTCCCAACATAACTAAAGAGAGAAAACTCCAGGGGAAAAAATATTTTCTTTTTTAATCATATTGAACACTCACCTCTGTCATAGGACCAGACAAGTATTGGAACGTCCCCCTTGGTTACAAAAATACAATTATTTTTTTAAACTTCTGGAGACATGAATTTATCTTAAAATAATTCTCACCTGTTAAGCTGGTGTTTCATCTGGAATATTTTAGTGTCTCCGCTTCACAATTTGAATTCCTGGTCTATTAAGTAAAAGCTAAAGGGGAGTTGAACAATTACTGGTAAATATTGGCAATAGCAACAAGAGAGAATCTAATGTTTTAATTTGGCAGCTTAAGTATTACTTGGGGTCCAGGTGTGCAAAACGGAACAGCTATGTTTGCCATACCATGAAGCAGGGTGTGTTTTGGGTAGTCGTAGGGACAGTTCTATTCCAACGTTCTCAACAGTCTAGCAACCTGCCTTGGGCAAACCTGTAACAGGCAAGAAGATTTATTCCTATCTCACTTCTATTCCACATGAAATGAATTCCACGTATAAGAATTCCCATCTACTAAGTGACAAATGAAGCCGTCAGTGGGGGACATGGCAGACATGGGTCTTTAATTTCAGAATGTTCTGCAGTGCACAAGAATGCAGGAGGTGCTTCTTCCGAGGTCTCAGGGGGAATGTGCCAAGGCCGCGAGCTTCCCCGCCCACATGTGCCGTTTTGCAGCGTTGTTGGTGGTTGTGGGGGCGCACGTGGGGGAGGGTCAGCCCTGGCTTGTTCTTTCCCCGTACATGCAGAATAACTCGAGAGACGGACATGCTTCAAAGACAAAAATTCCATACAGACAGAAAGGAGCACCCAAGATACCTGAGGAACCTTATTAAATCAAGTCCACTACTTACTAGAAATGCTATCATATGAATTTTGTGGTCATTTAAAAAATTTTTTGCTTCGAGGACTTGGTGTTTTCACACACACACATACACACACACAGACACACACACACACACACACGTGTATCCCTTTCATAGTCCTAAACCATCCTCAGATTCGCAGAAATGGAGCACAACCAAAACAGAGGAAATTATGATGGTGTCGGCTGAGAAATAAATCAAGCTACCTACGAGGCTTAGCATCACCTCTAAATCTCTTTTTCCCAACCTGCGCAACTGCCCAAGTTTCACTAATGGGAAGCCCTATCTCTATAAACATATTTTATCTCTTTAAAGGAAATGGAAGAGGATAGCCATGTCTGGGGTAAGTGTGTGTCTGAGGCCGTCCGCTGAGCATGCATGAAAGGTGAATGAGCGTTAAGTCTGGAAGCTTCTGAAACGGTTATAAGAATTTATACTGTGACTTCAATTGAAAAACACACCCCAGCCCCTCAAGACTGAGGACGTGGTAACACTGAGCTGCTCCTTTGGTGATGCTAGAGCTGTCCCCGTCACTAGAGTTATTGACGAGGGTTTTAATAATGGACAGGGTGTGTTATTTTTGCTATTGGTGTGAATAACATTAAGCAGCATAACAGAAAATAAGCATTTACAATGTCTTTTGTTCCTACTTGAAATACTAGTGGGGAAAGAAAGAGTCAATATTCTGAAATAATAACGATTGCCCATGACACAGCTATAAAAGCCAGAATTATAGTCCATAAAACAAAGAGAAAGTGAGTTGAGAAATTACCAGGTAAATATTATTATTATATGTAGACAGATGATTTGAGTAAATATAGAAGGGGGGGGGGGGATAACCTCAGTTTTACTTATAGCATTTTTGGCTCCATTTTCTAAAATAACTCATTTACCAAAGTGGCACAACTCCCCAACGTAATCAGGATGGCTTGTTTATATGGGGGTGGGGGATGAGGGAGGGTGACAAAAATGAGAGTTGTTCCAGACACCTTGGTCACAATCAGCCTGGATTTATTCCATACCAATTGTAAATTTCTTGTGAACTCGGGTTAAATTATTTCCTATAAAACTTTCCACAGTGGATATCTTTAAATCAATCAGTACAAAGTTTCAAGTGTGGAAATTACCTTTCTGTTACAGCTGAAAATTAATTTCTCCTTTTTTGAGAGAAATGACACGCCCTAGTAATTTTCATATATTCTTTAAAACGGAACATCCAGGCTTTGATGCGAAATCCCCTAAAAACGACCCCCCAAAATACATCAAAACATTTCTATTAATTCATGAAATTAAGGGTAGCGTTTTACATTTTCTCCTGTCACCGATTCCATTTCCCTGATTGCTTCCCTCGGTGGCCCACAAACTTGGTGGCACGACCAACAAACCCCTTGGTGGCCGCTTCATCTCCGCTCTATTTGATTTCTTCTCTCTGAGTAAATGATTAAGTTTTCATGCATTGGTTCAACCAAAATCTATGTTCACTCAACCACATCCTTCATTGATTACTTCTACTGCAAACAGTAGGCCAAGTGTGATATACATAATTGGACAGTTGTCGGGGGATGTGGGTGTTAACAGTCCCGTTTTCCCAGTTGGAAACTAGGATCACCTTGATACACAAATATTCTGCACTGTTTCATTCTCATTCTTTGGACCGAGGAGTCCTGTTCCTCAGAATATATGTTTTTAACTCTCTAAGGTCTGGTTGAATGAATTTAATGATTATACCACATAATATGCTGTTCAAGTTGCACCTGTGCACTGCATGTGGAAAACTAGAATTAATATTTGTCTAACATTTTAACCTCGCCCTTGAACTCATTTAAGTAATCTGTAGCTTTTCTGTAAGAAAAAACGATTTGATCCTCTCCCTTCTAAAGAAACGCTGGCTTCTAAATCTACGGCTAACTTTTAAATTTGGAAATCCTTTAAGTAACGTATAATGTTTATGTCTCAGATGCTATATTAACAGCTTTGCTGCTTCAAAAACTGTGCCTTCCCCGAGTGGAGCACATAATTTATAATAGAAAGACTTTTTCTGCAGCGTTATTTGTTAGAGCAAGTTCTAGATACTTTTAGATGTCTTGGAGATCTACTACTCCTCTGGGAGAAAAACAACTCGACTCACCCAGCAATAGTTTTATTTCTACTATTTTGTATTTCTTATTCACTGAACTTGTTTCCTTTTTGTTTGTTTGTTTGAGTGCGCATGTTGTGATTTAACAATCCTCGGCAGGCCCAACTTAATCCACAATGTACTTTCCTCAAAAATATATCAGCTTTTAGGAACGTGAACATAAATAAGCTTCAGTGAGCCCATTTTAGCTAAATAAAAATAATAATTTTTTTCCTAAGGATTTAAAGTGATATGCAAAGAAGTCTCTACTTTTTTCTTATGGCATCAATTTTTTTTCTTGAGTATTACTATCCAAGAAAAGGCTTGGCGAGTTCAGTTTCATAAAACATTTTTAGTCCTAGAAATTCACAAGTTCGCTCCAAATTCTAAGTAGTATATTTTATTTATTAATATTTTTATACTTTTGAGCTCTCTCAATGCCATCTTAATTGTTCCACAAAGCAAATATTTATATCAAAGCAACTAGTGCATCTCTCATGGTATTTTATTTTGTGTCTACATTTGAAATATTCCTCAAACAATTCATTTCTTTTTCTGGAGCATTGAACTATACCTGAATGTGGAAGAATATTATTCATGATTATGTTGTGAAAAAGTGAGAACTGAGCTATAAAAAGCAGTGTTAACTTTGGGAATGTGACATTCCTTTCTATTTCTGATATGTCGACCATTCTGTTACCAGTAAGAACGGGAAAAAAGAATGCATTTGATAGCACCTGATACTCAAATAAGCAAAAAGTGGTAGTTCTTTGACCCTGCCCCCTAGAAAATGGACACTAGGACTTTATTTGCTTACCTGCCTTGCAGAGAGTCCATTCAAATCATGGTATTGCGTTCATTGCATTATGAAAGATTTTCTAAGAGTCACACTTAGCTAATTTGACTTTTCTTCTCAGCTGGTACATTCTATGAAGTAGAGAGCTGTGGGTCTGATGGCTTTTTACCTCACTGAGAGGTAATAATAATACTAGCTGTCATTTAGTGAGTCTCTACTGTATGCCAGGCCATACATATACGTAATTTTTCATCTCACAACACTCTGTGGCCACTTGACAAATAAGGACGCCGAAGCAGAGAAAGAGTGAAGATGTGTTCCAAGTTATGTGCCTCAGAGGCCAAGCTGGGATTCCAGCCTAGTACTTTCCACTGTCCACCACAGCGCACTGTAACTTTGCAGCGATCTACCTTATGTTTGCAAGCATAACAGTTTATCTACGGAAATGAATGTGGTTTTCATCAGATCTTGGGAGATTGTGCAAGTTGAGACCTGTGATCCTGCCGCCACCTGTTTAAATGACACTCTTTGGACATGCTTCCTGAGCTTGTGGCACCTTCTTTTGAAAGACCTCTGTGGAACTACATCGTTGTTGACCTTTGCAAACAGCCAAAGGACTTAGAGTCACATTTAGAAAAAAAAAAAAACGCACAACAATCTCTAGGAGCAACTCCATTTTTGGAACATAATTGATTCAATTACTTATATACGTTTTCTAGTAGCCCTACACTATGGAGATGTTTCCTAAAGAGGGATTCCAGAATGCCATCAGCGTCATCATTAGGTGGGTGACATGTTTGAAGACACTCACCTGGAGGAAATATCTTCCTTTGCGTACTTAGTGAGTCTGGACAATTGGGAACTTGGATGTGCAGTACAGGGGGAAACCAGGGCTAGAAATACAGATTTGCCATATGTGCATGTAGGACGGGGGGCTGCCGCAGCAGTAGATGAAATCGCCCACAGTGAGCATTTAGTGGGGGGGGGAGGACAGCCCTGGACAGAGCTCTGGAAAGAGCCAGCTTGGGGTGAGCAGAGATCCCAGTGTCAGTAAGCTATGCAGGAAGATGCAGCTATGAGAGAAATGAGAAAAAAAGAGGTCAGCTGAAAGTTCTGGGCTCTAGAGAGGGCAAAACATTTGGAAGAAGATGGGATGGTTAACAGTGGGGACTCCCAATCTGTGTGCTGAAGACCTGGGTCAGGCACAGGAGGAAGAGGCAGGAGAGCAGAGCAAGGAGTCTAAGAACCCGTAACACTAAACATCCGATGCAGTCCAGAATGCAGACCTGTCTCCCGCAGCACACACGGCAATCTTCCAAATTTGTGTAGGTGCTTTGAGTTCACCGCTGTATTCCCTAGAGCTGGCTCCAAATCCTTTGGCTGCAGATCCTTTTTACACTACACACCCTAGACTTGTTCTTGTGAGGAGGATAGTGAAAGGAATGTGCCCCAAGTTTCAAAGCCTTACACCCAGTTCATGCTACCCAGCACGGTTAATCCCACGCATGGATTTATGTATTTATTTCTCCAAATTGACAGTGAAACTCTTTAAGAGCAGGAACCATATTTTTCAGAAAGTAGCATCCTAGGACATCTGAGAGTCTCCCAAAGGTTTCTTGATGTCACTCAAACATCCAGAAGACAGGAGCGTACAGTCATGAACCTCAACCATCCAATGACTGAGGTTCTCACGGTTACCTGGGAGCTTGACGATTTCATGTGCACTGCATAAATGTTTCCCTTCTCAAACTTCCTACCATTTCTTCATTCAAAAATATGTGAATGCCTGGTATATACCAAGCAATCTGTTAGAAACTGTGTCTTTCTGAGCATTTGCCAGTATTTATATATAAACCACCTATACAGGTAACTTCAGTGATGCCTAAGATTTCACTGCTGTAGCAGTTTGATGCTTACAAAAACAACCATTCACTTTTTATAAACTTTTAAAAGGTTTTATTTTTTTAGGAAAACAGCTATATTGAGATATCATTCATAAACCATACAATTCGCCCCTTAAAAGTCTAAGTTCGTATTTACACAGTTGTGCAACCATCACCACTATTTAATTTAAGATTATTTTCATCACCCTGAAAAGAAACCCCGTATCGCTTAGCCGCCACTCCCCACGTCTCCCTCTCTCCAGCCTCGGTAATCACTAACCCACTTTCTGTCTCTATGGATTGGCCTACTCTGGACATTTCATGCAAATAGAATGATACAATAAGTGGTTATTTGTGACTGGCTTTTTTAATGTAGCATCTGTTCAAGGTTTATCCATGTTATAGCATGTACCAGTACCTCATTCCTTTTGGTGGCTTAAATAAATTCCAGTGGATATACTACCCTTCGTTTATCCATTCAGTAATTGATAGACATGTGGGTTGTTTCCAATTCTTGGCGATGAAGAACAATGTTGCTATGAACATTCATGCACACGTTTTTGTGTGGACATGTTTCCATTTCTCTTGGGTATAACATGGAAGCAGAATATCTGGGTCCTGTGATAACTCTGTTAACGTTTCTGAGGAACAGACAAGCTGTTTTCCAAAACAGCTGTAGCAGTTTGAATTTCCACCAGCAATGCATGAAGGTTTAAAGGTTTAAATTTTAACTTTCTATATCTTCCAACCAAATCAGGCCACGTATTTTTTAATTTGACATTTTCACTCTAAATTGTATTCTCCTGATAAACATCTTGCACTTTCCAAAGCAGAGACACACAATATCTTCTCTGCACTGTGACATTGAGTGAAATGACACTCCAATAGTTTCCTGTTATATTCATTCTAGCCAAGGAGAAATGACAGAAGCAATTGAATACTTGGAAAAAGTTGTGAAAATTGCAAGAAACAATTTTCAAAGCCTTGATGTTGTGAAAGCAAGTACAATGCTTGGTGACATCTACAATAAAAAAGTGAGTATGTGTGATTCTTGCTCATGGAGAAAAAAAAAAAAAGTGTAGCTTTAAAATTCTATTCCCATTTGATCCTCACTTCCCCCACCGTGTTATACAGAATGGCCCCGGGTCTGCAAGGCTTAGTTAATGCCCAGAGAAGTGACTGGAAAGAAACCTCTCTCCTCCTCTTCTCCCAGGCCCTGAGTGTCACGTGGGCACAGTCACCATGAGCGGCTAACACTGGTTCACATCTTCACAGCCAGTGCAGGTCCTACGTAATGTTAGGTTTGAAGAGCAATTAAAATATTTAAAATCGAAGGAACTTCATTATAACAGTTGGCCCTCATCTGCTGACACTGACATTCATTTCTCTCGCTCCGAAGTCTTGCTTTCCTAATCCAGCTCCGCCGCCCCCTGCCAGGTCCCTCAGGGGAAGGAAGGACAATCCCAAGAGCAATTCTGAAGGAGCTATGTAATTCTAGCAACAGATTGGTTATGTGAGCGAAGAGAGAAGGAAGAGAAAAAAAGTCTAAAATAAAAGTATCTCGTTCGAGAGGCCATTACTAGCGAAATGCATCAGCCATATGGACTTTTGATTTATTTTCTCCTGACTTTATCTTCTATTACCCAGATCCTCCTTTAGAAATGGTATGAAGGAGACTTGTTTCTCCAGTTATAATTGCTGTTTTGGTCATGGGCAGCATCTATCATTTTTTAAGGTAGTTAACCTTCTCAAATTGTGTGTATGCTCATTGTCTTAATCTTTTTGAGAGGTTATTTGTGCATTGATTCAAAGCACTGAGTCTGAGACCAGACTGCTTAGTTAAAAGCCCAGCTCTTGCACTTTCCAAATGTGTGGCCTGGGACAAGTTAATTACCTTCTGGGCACCTCGGTTTTCTCCCCTCATAAGGCTGTTGTAAGTATTGAACGGAGATATATAAAGCACTTAGAATGGAGCCTGGCAGCGGAACAGTGCCATCTGGGTACGTGGGAGCTATCACTACTCTCTCCGCCCTTTGGGGTTCCATGCAGCTCCGCTCTGCCAGAGGCCCCGAGGGTATAAGCAACCTGCCGGAGCCCCCGAGCCTGTAGGTGACTGTGGTATTCAAGCCCATACTCTTGATCACTGCAGTCTTTTATGTGCCATGTCATTGATTTTGATGATTTCATAATTACTTGGGCTTTTTTTTTTTTTTTTTTTTTTTAGGAAATAGAGTGTGAGATTAATTTGAATGAATGAAAATGAAACTACTCTCTTTAGTTCCTGCTATGGGGAGCGAGATTTCTAACAAGGTGTCTTATCTTTTTATACCCCTCTCTCTCGCAGTTGCCCTGGCTCATGGGCCTCCCTCTCTTATCACTCACCATCCAAAACCCCCTTTTCTCTTAACCGTAGTCACCCTCCTTCTCTCCTCCTCCCTCACCCTCCTTGTTCCCCTCTCAGGCCCCTGTCTTTCTGGTACGTTCTCGCCCTCGGTTGTCTCTCCCTCGGCCTCTGGTCTATCCCTCCTTGTTTCCCTCTTTCTCTGTTCCCGCACCTGTCACCCTAGTTGCACCCAGGTCTTTCCTCCACTATGTGCCCCTGCTGTCCCATCTGTTACCTCTGTTGTTGATCTTGTATGTGCTTCTGATACTTCTTAGCAAACTGGTGAAAAACAGACAAGGCTTACTATGCCCTTGTGAGGCTTGTTGTCTGATGGAGGAGCTTATCCTGTAGTAGCAATTGACATTCTACATAAAAATACATAGTCGTTCTTTTTACAAGGGTTTTTCTTCAAATCAGAAGTACAAAAGTGCAGATTACTTTGCCCTACCGCCAAGCAATACCCAGAACTCCACACTTTCGTGTAACATGAACATCAATATTACAGCAAGCGTGAGGAAAATACAACCACAAACCTTCCTGAGGGGTAATATTTTTATACTTGCGTTTTCTTAACACTATCACCAAGAATTTGTATTTCATCAATGTATATTTCATTCTATGATTATTAATTCTTGAAGAAGAGTTTACTATTCAAAGGCCAGAGATGTGAATAATGTTCAAAGGCTGTGTCAGCTACCAAAAATATAATTCTTTATCAGTTTATCTCTGTTCTAATATAAAATTGGAGAGTTTCAGGTGTTTATGCTATTTTCAGACATACATTGTACCTTCATATATACAAATAGATTCATATAACTTAGTGATTCCTTATATTTTAATGAAATAAATGGTCACTGATAAATACTATAGTGTTCAGCATGTAATGCTATAATTATTTTATGATATCATAGGCTTGAAAACAAAGCTTGACTTGTTCCTAAAGTTGTTAATGTTGCATTCAATTTTTGTGCATTACTGTGATTCTTTGAGGACACTTCCTCAAGTCAAAAAAAATCTGATGACTTCATAGGCTGACTCTAGGTTGTTACATCAGGGCTAAGAGTATAATTTGAAAACGTTTAACTAAATAGATTTATTAGAACTAAATGATAGTTATTTTTCTTCCTCACCTTTTCAAGACAAGGGGATAGCCTTGATGACATCCTAAATCTCCTTCGTGTTCTACAAAGAGACTTCCTAGGAAATGCTGACAAGAAATTATTTGATATCTCTGCTTTTTATTTGCTTATGGATGTTTCCTAATTGTATTAAATGCCTTTATCCCAACTATATACCTGAAAACTTCCACAAGCTATTGGCGTCACATGCCGTGTATTGAGCCTTTCTGTGAAGGTAAGCGTAGCAGGACTGGACTAGGCTGAGTTTTGCCCACCTGATTTTGAATCTGAGTTCAGGCTTATTAACTGTGACCCTGGGCAAGTGAACTCTTTGAACTCCTCCTCCATATAATTGAGTCTTTACACAGAGGCCCAAGTAATCCTTTCAAAATGTAAATCTAATCATGTTATTCCTCTGCTTCAAATGCTTCCATTACTTCCCATTCTTCTGGGAACATAAACACAAATCCTCACCCTGACCTGAAATCTTCTGTATGAGATGCAGCAACCCCCGTCTCTGACCTGACTGCCTCCCATCTGTCTCATCCTCCCTACCACAGCCCATGGCCTTTCATGGAGTTCTTCAAACAGGCTGAGCTTATTCCTGTCTTAGGACATTCTCCTCAGCTGGAATGTTCTACGTGGGGTGTTCTCCAGTCTGAATTTCACACTGCTGGCTTCTCGTCATTCAGATCTCAGTCAAATGTCATCTACAGGGAGGCCTTCCCTCGGTGACCCAATCAAAAGTAGCCACCAGGTCACACGTTAACATTAACTTCCCATGTAGCACTTACCTCATAGTTTTCTTATTTAGGATATTTTATTGTTGCTGCTGTTGTTTTATTTGGCTGGAATGGAAGCTTAATGAGAACAAGGATCATATCTGCCCTTTTTATTATTTTATTCCAGTTCCTAGCGGAGAACCTGACACAGAGTTGGTGAGCAAAATATGTGACCAGTTTTATACAACCGAAGAGTAGTATTCGCTCATTTTTGAAATTCCAGTCTTCTGTTTTACTTTTGTACAATATTTTGACATTTTGAGAACTTGTACTGAATCTTTAAAAGCAAATCTAATGGTATCTGTCAGTCTACCTTTTAAGGCCCTTATTATACCTTTTCTGGTATTATTCATGTAATATATTCTAATTATATTCTTTTTTTAAAATTATTTTGAGAGTAAACTTATTAAAGCTGGGGACAGTAAAACAATGAAGGATTTGGGATAGAAGGAGCAACAGGGGAGCCCGGGCGGGGCTGCTTTGGCTCTCTAGAAATGTCACGGGAAAGAGGGGAGCCCGGGAGGGGTGCGTGAGCTCACTGAGAAGTCAGAGCAAGGGGGGCCTTGGAGACAGGTTGGGGGGGTGACCCAGGGACGAGCTGCCACTGCCTGCTGCTCCCCTGTTGCAAGTCTCGTGGGGAAAGAAAGGTGTGGGCATGCTCTCATTATATTCTTAATACTTTCTAAGAAATAATATGATTAGAAGACCAAAATTATAAAACAAAACTATGCTTGGAAAAAATTAGAATGATTGTTTTCTCTAATTATTATAGTGTTATTATAATTGAAGTTCCATCTTGAAAATATCCTTTATCTTAGATAAATTTTCTTATTTTATGTAGTAAAATAATCCTTTTACCCCATAGTCCTGGAAGATGGGCAACCAGCCCACCCTCCTCATGTGATCTTTTGATAGACTATTAACTGAAAATATGTAATAAGTATAAAGTGGTCAAATGAGAATGTTTTAGGGGAAATAACTAGATATAGAGCTTTGATGAGATCTTTGATGAGATTTCTCATTTCCTAATAATATCAGAGAATAATCACAGTTAAAACAACAGCAGTTCCACTCTGGCCGGTTTGGCTCAGCAGTTAGATCATCAGTCTGCAGACCAGAGAGTCCCAGGTTTGGTTCCCGCTAAGGGCATGTATCTTGGTTGCAGTTTGTCCCTCTCCCCGACTGGGGTCATGTGAGTGGCGACTACTCGATTTGTCTCTCTCACATCGATGTTTCTCTCTCTCTCTTCCTCCCTTTCTCCTTCCTGCTCTATCTGAAGATAAATGCAAAAGTGTCCTTGAGTAAGGATAAAAAACTAAAAAACAACGGCAGTTCCAACACTAAAGTTGTAGGAAGACTGTATAAGAAATTATTCTTCACTAGTACTGAGAAAATGCCCATTTGTTTTGAATTTGCTCATTGGATAGAGTGACATTTCAGAATCATGCATGAAAATTCCATGTTATAGTGTAATAATACAAGCTTTGTTTCAAGGTCTATGATGTCATAAAGATCCTGTCCTGAAATTATCCACTAAATGCTTATCAGTGATGTTTATAACATTAAATGAAGTTCTCTTCCAATAAGATGCATTTTGAAATGCATAAATTCATTTGTATATTCTCAAACTCATATTTAAGATTGCCAGCATTAATTATTGGAATCTTCTGAATTTTATAATAGGATAGGGATTAACTGATAACAGAAATGAACTGTGGAGGGTTGGACAGAACCTTTGGAGTAGAGATTAAATTTAGATATTAAACTCTTAAAGAATTAAAAATCTGGAAATACAACGTACCTTATGAAATCGCATTGCAAAAAGGTATGTATAAAAACACTTCCATCTGAAAATTAATATTGTATTTTATTAATAGTGTTTTAAACTAGAGAAATTTATATTAATGCTGGTTTTATGGCAGTTGTGTATGTCTAAAGATTGAATGCTGGGCACAACTTAAGGGAAAAATAATTACCTCATTATAATGCTCCTATTTTAAGAGGGGGGGGACGCACTTGTTAAATAAGATCTAATAAAAGTTTCAGGCATATAAATACTTACATTAGCAGCTAGCTCACCTCCTGACCATAAACTTGGTATACTGCTGAATTCCCATTGCCTGGCATGGGGTTGGCACATAGTAGATGCCCAATGAATACATGGATGAATGAATGAATTTGTTTTAACATAAGTGAAATAATATATAAAAATAATTCTGGAAATTCAAATATATGTTCATTTTTTATGGTCCCTAATTTTCCTAACTGAGCCTCCCACCTAAAACAATAAACAGCCTAAAGCTCAGAATTGTAACTAGAACAATAGATATTCATACTTCTCTGTTTTAAAATAGAAATATTTAGTCTATTTTTTTTTTATATCTTTGATGTCTGGTAGGAAAATCTAACATTTCCATGAATTTTGTTTTCACATTCAATATTTCTGTTGTTTTTCAATCATGTAATTTACTAATTGGCATATAAATATCTCTAATAGTTTTATTTTTTCTAATTAAGTAATCTTATTCTCATATAAAATCTGTCTTAAACATTGAAATAAGAGAAAAAATTGCTCACCTCAGCAAACAAAAATTATCATTGATATAATATAGAAGGACACTATTTAAATTAGCAAATTTAATTGGAATGAACCATTTGAATCAATAGTTCATCTATTAAACTGTCCTTGTGGGCATGGAACAGAGTGTTGTGTGCGCCGCTCATGACTGTCCCCCAAGCCCCGTTTCTCCCCCTCCTCACCATGCTAGCAACTTTTTTATTCAATCAACTTGGCTGAACTATAGAGGCACACGGAGATGCATGTGCACTTTACCTAAACTGGTATGGAGTATAAAGCTATTACTATGGTGTTTTTATTTCTAATTCCTTCATAAACTATTATGAGAGAATGATTTGAAAAGTCATAGTAAAACATTCTCTCTTACGAGGGTTTCCTTTCAAAAGAGTGTGCATATGTGTTTTTGTTTGTGTGTATGAGACAGAGAACAAGGCGAAGATAAGGAGAAGGAAGGGGAGGGGAGGGGAGGGGAGAAGAGGAGAAATTGGAGCCCAAAGTGTTAGAAGTCAGTGAAGAAAGGAAATCTGTCCCCAGAGTCTTTATAAGTACAGATCAGTCCTAAAAAGAATATCCTCCTTTGAGGAAGAGGTTTTTTTGTTTGTTTTTATCCTCACCCAAGGACATTTTTCCATTTTTTGTTCAGAGTGGGAGGGCAAGAGAGGAATAGAGAGAGAGAAACATCGACGTGACACATCGAGTGGCTGCCTCCCGCACGACCCAACCAGGGCTGGGGACAAACTGCAACAGACGTACGTGCCCTTAGCGGGAACCAGACCCGGGCCTCTCTGGACCGCAGGCCGACGCTCCAACCACTGAGCCAAACTGGCCAGGGCTAGGAAGAGTTTTTAATGAGGATTTTCAGAAGGCTTGGGGGTAGCAGATGGTAGTCTCTTCTCTAAGGCTCAGTTTCATCATTTGTAAAATAAGATTTTCTCACAGGGTGACTTATGAAAGCTAAAGACATGATAGTTATGAAGTACTTAGAACCGGCCCTGACACTTCATAAATGTTAGGGAAACATTATTTATCTGTGGTCAATAGCTTTTAGGACTTGTTGTGAGGATGACCCAAAAAACAGAGCAACAACAACAAGCCTTTAATTTTTGTAACTTAAAATGTTGCAAAGAACTTGGAGAAGAAGATAGACATTTAAATGATCATTTGCGTTGTGCTAGTCCTATCAAGATCATATTTTTTAAATCTTGGATACCTCCCCATTCTCAGTCAAGAATGGCATATGTACATGGGAAGAAGACTAATTGCTAAACCCGCAGATATATACATCTCTTTTCACTGATGATTGATCAAACAGGTTGGCTGAATATGATCTCTTACTGTGACTGATAACTCAAAACTGGTCAAAAATATTTCACTAGGTAAATCCAATGCTACAAGTGGGAAAATTTCATCCAAACCAATGTGAGTTGGTTCACTCTTTCCCAAACTTCTCTTCCGCTATCTGTCATGAATTAGGTTGAACCATATGAAAATGCTAATATTTGGACATTTTTTTTTCTCCAAAAGAAACCTAAGTTTCATACAGTTCAACCTGATCAATACAGTTTTCTTGATGAATTAACTGCAAGAATTGCATGGTTAGTAATCACGATGTTTCAAAAGAGCCTGTTCTAACAGAGACCCTGCCTGCCATCACTTTCTTCTCAAAGTTGCTACAACTGTTGAAAGAACAGTGTGCTCCTTGCCGAGGTGGGAAGATATGTGAAATGGTAAAATGTAAAACTGAAAACATTATTTCTCTTACATTTTTAGGGATACTACAAAAAAGCTTCCACATACTTCCAGCAAGCTTTTGACACCACAGAAGAGCTCACAAACATGCCACTGATAGATGAAATCAAAGTTCATTACGGAATAGCCAAAGCGCATCAGATGATGCTGACAGTTAACAATTACGTAGAGGCTGCAGACCTGGCCAGCCTTGACTGCCTGCTGGCCTGGAAGGAGGGCAGGAGCGACATCGCACCTGACCCCGTCACTGGTAAGGCACTGGTTGTCCAGGACACACCTCAGTGTCTGCATCATCCTTAACGGCTGAGTCATTTTCACCGTAAAGGCTTATTCAGTCATTGTTGATTTTAATTGTATGGATAATTTTCATTGTATTTATTCATTACTCTGTGAATACTGGATGTAGTTCCGTGCTATATCGTACCTTCTGTTTTTACATCAAAGCATGGTAATGATGCCTTCAACTTGATAAGTCACCGTTCTCATGCTGCTTTTTATTTCAGCTATCTTCACTGTTCAACAGTAAGTACTGATCCGTTGTCAGGATGGGAAATAAGTTCATGTTTTTTAAACATGTGCAGTGTTGTATCTTACTGATGAGCGCAAGGGTCCATAAGTGTCAATTACTATTATATGCTTGCTTTTCTCATGGTAGTAAATTTTTCTATTTTTTTTAATCAATTCAAATTTGAATATTAATTTAGATAATGTTTTGTTTTAATTTTGCTCAATGCTACTTTTTTCCTGTAGATGTTTTCTTGTGATAATTAGTCAAAATAGTCAATTAAAAACAAATAACTAGGTAGGTTAGGATCAGTTTTGTGTGTAAACTTGACTAAGCTCTAGTCCCCAGTTAAGAATTTTAGACTAGGATAGTTTTAAATTTTAAACAGTACTGTCTATGACAAACCTTGAGTTATGTAATTGTTTGTTTGCAAGTCAAACTTTTGAAAGCAAAACATTTTAAATGTTTTGGGGCAACTCAAATAGAGTCATAAGGCAAAACTTTATAATGTGAAAAATCATCTCCTACTTTGAACATTTTTTCCATTTAGATAAAACAATAATCTGTTTTGGTATTTATTTCCTCCATCAAGTAAATCGTAAATAATACAGTAAACTAGGGACAGAGGAATTTTCACTGACTCTTTTACATTAGCAGAATACCAGCATACCACAGTCTGTCCCCTAGTTATAAAGTAAGAAAGGACTTATTCCAAATATATGTACAATAAGAAAAAAACAAGATGAAGTCTTTAAAAACAGAAGTCCTGCTGACTGTCAGTACGTTCAAGAGCCTGCAAAATACTTACGGTTAACTGTTAACTAACCACTCTCAGATAATATTTTGTTTACTTCAGAATGCTGTCTTGTCATACATTTGGGAATTTGTTGTGTAACTTTTAGTTATATTCCCTTTCATTTCTCACTCTTCCTTCCCAGGTGATAAAGTAGAGGAAATATGATCCATCTATTAGAATACTTTCTTTGATAAAAGGTTTGATAGAGAGTAAGTTGAGTAACACGTTTTAGATTTATCTGGGATAAACTTTAGCTATCACATGATGATGATGAAAATAAATACTCAAAACTAGCTTCTGATCAGAGCCCTGTATCTATTTGCTACAATCCTGTTTTTGGCTTTAAAAAAAAATCTTTTCTACTTTTCTTTACTCTATAAATGTATTTTTCTATTCTTCTTATATTTTATCTCTTTTCTGTAATAATGTTCTAAAGGACTTGGGAATAGAACAAAAACTGCAGTTTAAAATATTATTCAGACAGTAAAAATTCAGCTCTTCACATGGTAGAGAAGATAAACTCCCCACTGTGCAATGGAAGGACACCCCCTTACTGACTCATTTTCTCAAGACTAGAAATGTATGCATGGATGAGCTACTTCTCACAAAAGTGAGAAATAATAATCTTTCAGATTCAAGTATAAATAACATATAAATAGCTCTTACTTTGGGGGTGTTTAACATTTTTAGTGGTCATTGTTCTATATGGAAATAAAACCTATAGGACATTATCAAGCACACTTGTTTGCATAGACATATTTTAGCTCAAAATACACTAGCCTACTTTACAATGTTTCCAAAATATTTCTTACACCACAATTCTTACTATTCTATCTTTGCTCTGCCTAAAAACCTTCATTGGCCCCATACTACCTATAAGTTAAGAACAAGCTTCTTAACCTTTTTTGACCACCTCCCTCTCCAGCTGCCCACGCCCTCCCCCTACACCTCGCTTCCGGCCCCAGCTCCCTGCAGAGGGATCTCACTGATCTGGGAAGGCCCTTCTCCAGTGCTGAAAGCCTCCCATTCTCTTCTCACGTGAATGTGTCTCTTCTCTCTGTCCCCACACTGAGTGTCATTCATTTCTCTACCGACCCTTTATATTTGTCATATTTTGCACCCTATCCTGGCCATTTCCAATTGCCTTATCTTCCCGTTGAGAGTATGAGTCTCTCGAAAACAGGCTCTGATCCTTGGCGCTCTCTTCGCAAGAAGGCACAATGTCTAACACCTGCTTGCTAGCAAGTAAATATTTGTCAAATTAAATAGAATTCAAAACGAGTATATATGTCCTAGCCGTAAACCACTTTGCACTAACCACTTTTTAAAACGAGACTCATAGCTTCCGCCTCCTTGGAAAACAGAAGGAAAAAACACCCTACGATCCAACCCTGCGTTTTGATCACCACGCAATTATCACACGAATGCAGGGCCACGCCGAGTACGATGTTGACAAAGTGAAGAAATACAGAAATATTATTTGGAAGTCTGAGCAGCTTTTAGGTTTTCAGAGTTTGCCTTTCTTGTCAGAAAAGGCATCTTTAATCTTGCTACAGAGGGGTCCCATGTATTCAGAAAAAAGCAGATCAAAGATTTGAAAGATACATTATAAAAGCTGCGCAGTTATCCTCGCCTCTGAGACTCACATCCTCCAAACAAATCATTAGCTCACAGCACAGGCAATATTCTTTTAAGCAGAGGAACATGACCCCCTAAGGGAATAGAGCGGTGAGAGCACTCGGGTCTCCAGATGAAATAGAACAGTCATTCACCAGCAATCATCTCTCATCTTTGTACCCTTCAGAGGGAACACAGCAAACACAGGAACCTTCCTCCCATTCTAATGCCCAGACATGGCGGGAATGATTTCATATTCCTCCTTTCCTCTCCAACAGCCAAATGAGAATAGATTCTCCTCCCAAATTTAAGAATTTAGAAGGAATTCAAATCTATGGCAGTTCAATAAAATTATTCAAGCCTGAAGCAACTGAAATGAGTTAGCTCTGGAAGGCTTAAGGGCCTATGAATTTCTGCTGATTTCTCTAGGATATACTTTATTTTCCTTACTAGAACTATTATCTCTAAATCATGAATTTTTTTTTTTAATGAAAAGCTAATTCATCTTGCCCGGTGGAGATCACAGACCCAGATGTGGGATAGGGACACAGAGGCCAAAGCTTACCTTATTCAACTTAATAGTACCGTTAACTTAAAAATGCAATTATAGCTCTTAAATGCCAAGACTGTTTACCACTTCACTGATACTATCAGTAACATGGTTTTAATGACGTTCTTATTGTAGCCAAATATAAATTATAGCAAAGAAATAGGATGTAAATCCTGAGTATAGAAATAGAGAAATACACTGGCTAGTGGATAAAGACAGTTACAGTTTTCTACAAAACGGCATGTCAAGGTTTCCTTGAGTGCCAAACACATCCCCTCATTTAACAAATCATTTCATATTCTTAAAGGAACACAATCACTATCATGAAGGTGTCTCTTAGTTTTGAGTTTGTGTTGTCTTAATGTTGGATCCTCGAATTAATGCCGAGCCTCATTTCCCTATCCTATGCTCTGCTTGTATTTTTCACTCATGTATGCAATCCTTTTAAGGAAGATGGAGAAGCAACATTCAAGTCTCATTGTTCTATTATACTTTGACCAGCTACTTCTTTCTGTTCCTTAACTACCCCTCACAATGAGGAGAATGTTAGGGAATTAGCCAAAAGTCAGCAAACAGGTTTTCTATCATCCACCATCACGTAGCAAAACTGTCCCTAATAATATGTTCAAAACCACGTCACATACAAAGAAGATGCTGATGAAAAACGTGACTGACTCAAAGCTCACCCGAGCGGCTTGGTGTTGTTCAGAGAGGCTATTAAGTGTCTGATCGCCTGAGTCCCAATATCATATTGAACACTGATTGGTTTTGTGAGTCTGGGCAATATATTTCACTTGCTCTCTTTAGCCTGTTATTTGAGGTTTCAAATAGATCATTAACAAGATTCCTCTGGAACTGACCACAGTCCCTCAGTAACAGCATCTTCTAAATAAATACGGTGTTCTTTAGTCCTTCAGCGGCAAGCGTGGTAACCTAGATTTTCATGAGCAATTTATTTGTTGTTTTTCTCCCCACAAACACCAGTTTCTGTGGGTTTCCACAAAAGTTCATTTGTTGTTGCTGTTATTATTACTATTATAATATGTGTAACAGCTGTATAAAGGCCAGTGTAAATATTTGATCCTTCTGCTAGAGTTAGTAGTAAAGAAGTTTCTACCTATCTGAGGTCATATGCAATTTTGCTTTTCCCTGGCTGGCACTGTTGAGGTTACTAAACCTAATGAACTATTTCATCTGAAGATTTTCAACTCATGCTCCTGTTCAACTAACCCTGTGTCCTAGTCCTCAGCATTTCCTCAAGCCCTGCCCCTTCCCCACTGTTTCTGTGGCTCCAATTGCTGAACATGCCTCATTCACGGTCACCATTATTCCTCCTTTGTGCGCTTGAGTTTGTGGCTCTCCCACCTCCGTGATGTCACAGATGGTGGACCAGGGTGACTTCACCTCTGTTACCTCATCTCTAGAGAAAGATAACAGTTTCTGCCTCACGAGGCTGCCTTGAGGGTCCTCTGGGTTGCCTACCCAGGGGCCGTCGCCCAACTTCTTTCCTGCTAAAGGAATCCTGACTGTTCTCCCTTCTCAACTTGACATGGCCTTAGGGGGAGGTTAGCCTCTCCCCATCCCCGGTGGTTGACTGTTATATACGTACTGTAAGCCAGTCACGATGACCTCATTATACTTGCCTAGTGATAGCTGTAGGGAAGGTAGGTGACACAATTCTAACTAATGATATAAGAGATGAAAATCTGAGGAATTCCCAGGAAGGTTTTATTCATTCTTCAAAAGGGGCACAAGAGGAGGAGATTCCCCTTCTCCTGACTTTAGATGTCTGGTGACCATGTGCTGCCTCGAGCCGCTGTAGCCCACTTGCAACCAGGCTCCCTTGATGATGGCAGCAAGACAGCCTGGGAGGGGTCGGGGCCCCGAGTGGCCCCCTTCCACACTACACGAGCTAACCCTGTAATGGCACCCACCGTTCTTTTGTGTGAGATAGATTTTCCAATTTCTTAAGTCACTTCTAGTGGTGTTTTTTATTGTTGTTGCTGTCTCTGTCTCCTTAGTGAAGCCCAGAGAAAAGCACTAACAGCTGCGAGCATGGTAACCGTGAAGTGCCAAGCAGCGCTGACGTCATCTGCACCAGGTAGCAACCGTGGCTGCTGCGGCCCCAGGAGCTGGCACAGCGCCGGGCGCATCATGGTGCTCAAGGAATACCTGGACTGTGGACCGTTGAGTAATCTTCTTTTTAATTTTGTAGTCAAGAATTGGGCAGTATCTCAGAACCTGGCATTCTCTCTGAATTTTAAAGATGCCCCATGTTCTAATTGTATTTACCCCTCCTCCCAACGTAACTCCTTTCCTAATTAGGACACCTGTCATCCAGAGGATCGACGTTCTGGCCACTGCGAGGTGAGGTCGAAGTGACCGCACTGACTCACACCACGCTGTGGATGACCAGAAGTGCTTTCACCTTTGCAGAGCAATTGGGATTTTTTTTAATGTTTGAAGATTACCTATTGCCAAAATTTAGGACAGTTGTAATATAGTGTGTAATGGAAATCATTCAGGCAGTGTGGGGCAAGATAATTATGAATAATGAGGCCAACACATAGGTCTTCTAAAGTCTGTCATCTAAAAATTCTAGTAAGCGCCCTGGCTGGTTTGGCTCAGAGGTTAGAGCGTTGGCCTGCAGACCGGAGAGTCCCAGGTTCGGTTCCCACTAAGGGCACGTAACTGGGTTGCAGTTTGTCCCCAGCCCCGGCTGGGGTCATGTGGCTGGCAACCACTCAATGTGTCTCTCTCACATTGATGTTTCTCTCTCTCTTCTTCCCTCTCTCCCTCCTGCTCTATCTGAAGATAAATGCAAAAACTGTCCTAGGATGAGGATAAAAATAAAAAAATTCTAGTAAGTTTTTTTTTGTTTTTGTTTTTTTTTCAAAAAAAAGGTATAGCCCTGGCTGGTGTGGCTCAGTTTGGTTGGAGCATTGTCCCATATACCAAAAGGTTGTGAATTCCATTCCAAGTCAGGGCACATACCTAGGTTATGGATTCAATCCCTGGTCAGGGAATTTATGGAAGGCAACCGATCAATTCTCTCACATCGATGTTTCTCTCTCTCTCTCTCTCTCTCTGTCTCTCTCCCCTCCCCCCTCTCTAAAATTAATAAGCATATCCTCAGGTGAGGATTTTTTTAAAAGGTAAAGATTTATATTAAAGGAAGGAAAGCTGAGGTCCGTCTCCCTTCATCAGAAAAACATTCAGTTATTGCATGTACTTTTTAGAGGGCTCAGTAACCACTGCTTAACAAGGTGGAACTGACAAGTGCGTCCGATATCTGGCTCTTCGCTCTTCTGGGCACATGGAAGATGGTTCTTCCCAGTCCCTGGCCACCAGGCAGGGCTCTGTGACTAGTCCTGGCCCAGGAGCAAGAGTCACTCCTCATGCACAGAAGAGCCCACCTGAGATCCTGCAGCCGCTTGGTGCCCTGCTGCAGTGAGCACGGAGGGCCTCATGGGAAACAGTGGAGCCACGCGGTGGAGCAGCCTGGATCGCGAACTGTGCAGGTGTGCAGCGCCTGTCCTTGCCGGCCATCGCGCCTGGGCAGAACTGTCGCACACGCACGGTGAGCCTATACTGTGGCCAAGCACAGAGATGGTGGCGTTGCTTGTTACCGCAGCTGACTGCAGGCTGCCCTGACTCCACCGCTGCAGGATTCCTGAGCGGCTGCCTGGATAGGGAGCTGCAGGGGGGAAGCGGCCACAGCCCTTTCTGACAGGTCACAGGCTGTGTGATTAGACGTTGTGAGTCTGCCTGCGATTTTTCAGAGGCAGAGCGCCTTTGCACTTCCATGTCTAGTCCCAAAAAACAAGTTTGATAAGACACACTGAAGGTGAAACATTAAAATATATTTTTATATACCCTCTACTACTGTCAGACAGCTTAAGAAAGATATACATCTTCTCCACAGATCTGATTTAAATTGATAGATTATCAAAGTGTACTTCTAATACATTTCTAGAAAGAGCGTATAGAATTCGATGTTTTCTGCAACTGATAAACAAATAATTCCAAAGATGAAACATGCTGAAAAAGACAAATCAGTAGTTAATTGCAGCCAAATTCCTAAATAAAAAGCACAGCCGAATTTGAGCCTGAATTTCAAGTTTCCTCATTTAAATACAGTTCACCCATCTTTGTATATTTTCCACAAGACAAGTGACAAGTTTGCTTCCTTAAAATCAAGCGTTTCTTCAGAAAAGGAATGCTCACTTCATTGGGAAATAATAATGTAGCCCTAGATCCCTCGGGTTGAAAGATCTTCTTTTTTGCTTTTGCTTTTTTTCCCTCCTCTGAGAGCCTCCTTCTCTATCTGCTGCCTTGGTTCAATAAAAGAGAATTCTTGATTGCTCAAACAAAAACTCTCCTTCTTTTAGATTCTGCTCACAGTTCTTGGTAGCTGATGGTGTTACCAGTTTTAACTTTCCAATGTACACTGAACTCACCACTCCCAAGAAAAATGCAGCTGAGTTTCTCTAATCTGGTTTAATTTCAATTGTGTCTGTAATTGCTGGTTTGAAAAGCTTATGAAAAGCTTGGTGGTTGGTACAAGCACAGGGAAATCAGAGTGCCTGCCGACAGTTCCGGTAGAAGGCTAGGTTGGGAGTTCCGGCAGAACCCTGTTGTCATTTGTTTATGTTAATTTCATGCCCGCGAGGGGTGTTACCTCTGCTTCTAGCTCTGTCATTCTACTTGTCATGGATTCTAAATACTGGACCAATTTCACTAGAACACTTTCTATCATTTTGCCCCCCAGATTGAGGGCAAAAAGATCCTCTCCTATGTGTGTTTAATTCTTCTTTGCTAAGGCTCTGTTAGGACAATTGTAGTGATTCTTGATCCATATGATTTCTACTGAACAAAAAAAAAAAATAAGTGACATTAATACTGTATTTAAAACATGACCATAGTTAAAAAAACAAATTTTCTTGGCTTCTAGTTCTTTCCAAAGTGTCCCTGACTCGGGGTATTGCGTGGGAGTTTTTCTAATTACCTCTCACTTGGTATTTTCATCACTGTGCATTTTTATTTTTTTTAAACCACGACATCAATCAAAAATTATATCCATGGTCCCAGAGTTCACTATTCTTTACAGTCTTTTATTCTGTCCTCCCTGTGTCTTTAACTCCCAGACAAGAGGGAATGTTTCTGTAGTCTAGGTTCTTTAGCATAATTAATAGAGAAGTACTTTTCACGATGCATATTCTTTTAGAAATTATTTATAAGGCTTTATTATGATGACTGACTTGGCTGACAGTCACTGGATATATATTTTACTTCTCATGGATGATATCTGCCTCCCGGTGGTAGAGGGTACAATGTGTTCAGTATGGGAAATATTGAGCAAGAGTCTAACTAATCAGAAGAAATGCTAGAATGTTTCTTAACTTGAATGCCAGTCCACCCTGACCAGTGTCTTGACTTCCTGAAATGAATCCTTGGAACACTACGAATGCTCCTGAGCACGCGTACTTTTCAGTCCTCTGAACTGCTCTCGCAGTGACGTAACTATTACAAACACTGACCAATAGTCATCATCCCCAAATTCTTTAACACTGCATGTACTCAGGTTCTCTCTCTCTCGCTCTCTCTCTCTCTCTCTCTCTCTCTCTCTCTCTCTCTCTCCTCCTTTCATTTCATTCTAACCTTCAATCAAAAAATTGGAGCAAATAGATGTTTTTTCCTCATGGCCTTAAGGTAAACAAAGTTGAATTTTGTCAAACCAACAGGAAAAACTAGAGTTAGCTTATTTAAGTGCTATGCCTCTAAGGGTTTGCATTCATTGGCTTCTAACATAGAATCAGGCTCCCAAAATGAGAAGGAAAAATAACCGGTTAATTTTAGCCTTTCATGAGATATCTGATTTTTCTGAATTAAGACTATACATTTTGAGGGTGTCAATAGGGAAAAAAAGGAGGGACATCTGTAATACTTTAAACAATAAAGATAATAAGCAGGGGGAAAAAAAGGACTATTCATTTTATTGTATCAACTAATAAAATGTATTTTGCAAAATATAGCTAATTAAGTGTATTTTGTACTGTTATCAAAGGAATTTTAGTTCAACACTCTCAAAGGTCTTCTAGTCTTGCTTATTCGATAAGCTAATGGGAAGGGATGTGTAGTTTTCCTTGAGTCTCCACATGTTTTTAACTTAGATATAAAAATAAAAGTGGAAAAATGTGAAATAAAAAAAGCTTCAAAGTCAATAGTCAAGAGGATTGGTGACAAATACCAGGAGGATCTGGGTCTGAATGACTTTCATAATATTTCGAGGTTAATATTTTCGCTGTTCAGATTTATTTGGCCCAAGTTTTCACCACCAGCCACTAATAGGATTATGAAAAGACGGAAACCAACTATACAGGAGGAAGCGGTTATGTCCAACATTTAGGTATAATTAAAATTGAAAACAAAATTAATAAACATAAAAGCTCATTGTATTGAATATAACATAAGCAAGTGAAACATTTTTCATAAAAATCTTATGGGGACAGGTAAACAGACCAGTACTATGATGTGCTCATAGGAATTCTTCCCCAAAATATTGATGTCCAAATAGCTATGTTAACAATCTCTCCTCTGAATAGATTCACTTATTCCTTCACCTTCATATGGGGCTTTACATTGTAATCTTATCTGAAGATTTATATGATGAAATATGACTATTGTATATTCTTTGGTAATTTGATTGGCAGGAAATAGCAAATACACACATAGCTTTTTAATAATTTATAATTACTTACATGAATCTACTAAGTTTAGGCACACAATTATATGACTAATTATGTTAAAAATCCAAGTGGATGCTTAAATAGATGACCATGCCCTGAGGCCTTTCCAGTTGTTTCTGCTGTCTCATTTAACCATGCAAATGTTATTAAGCATTCCTGGCTAAAAATTGTCAAGCATGTGCAAGTGTAATTGCATAGATAATTATGCATAATACTGTCACTTTCTATATCAAACATCGAAATTTTCCTTTTAGAAATATCAGCTTTCTAGTGGGTAGCTTTCTCAGTACATGCCAAGAAAACTATAATTTGTAAAAGATAAGGAGACCCGTCCAATCTATTGCTCTTTCTTCGGGCTCTCTTCTTGACTCTTTTAAGCACACAAATTTGAAGTAAAACAGAGAAATATCAAGCCATATACTAAAACTAAAGCAAATTTTAAATACCTGTAAGTGCAATAATCTGTGCTCACAGAGTGTAATCCAATAACTGTCTTTAGATTCATGTAAATATTTATACAAACCGGTTAACAGGGATACAAAAGAATTAACTATCCTGTTCTATGAATAAAAATGAATTTAACAAGTCTTTCAGGTTTGCATATACTAAAGCCATGTTTATATAACACCAAAAAAAAAAAAAAATGTCCAGAAAAAATTAAACAGCGCATTTACATTGGCAGATTAATTTCTCGTCATGAGAAATACTAAGGAAGCTCTACAATATAGAATCCTACCCGATGCCATGCCTTGCCAGGCTGGATTCTGCACAGGCTTGCTTAACAAGTCTGGCATGTGTGCAGCTGATTCGTGGAGCCTAGCTCACATGACTGCCCAGCTGCAAGGGAAGCTGGGAAAGTATCTGGCTTTTCAATGCCTTCCATGAATTACAATCTATGGAGCATGGAAATGGAGGTTTAGGTGCTGGCAGGCAACCACTGGAAATAGTGCTAAGTCCTATGAAGAAAAAAGCAGGGGGAGAGAGGACAGAAAGTGATCGCCTTTGGGGAGGGTTATTCCACTTTTTTTTGTTTTATTATTTTTGTTTTGTTTTTTAATTCTCAACGATGCTTTTATTTATTTATTCCGCTCAGGTACTTTTTAAAAAATTTATCTTTATTGTTGAAGGTGTTATAGATGTACCTCCTTTTTCCCCCCATGGACCCCATGCCCCCCATCACCCCTACCTTCGCTGTACTACTTGTCTGTGTCCATTGGTAATGCATATATGCATATAAGTTCTTATAGTTCTCTTCCCACTCCCCTCCCCCTTCCCTAAACTAAAGGTTCAGAGAATCCACAAAAAAATGAGGCATGGTTTGCACAGAAACCAGAATGAAAGGACCAAACATTCTGTGTTAATATTCAGAAGCAGGGGCAGGGCAAAGATAGCCAGGCAAAGCCAGGCCAGTCCAGGAACAGCGAGCAGACCGAGATGGTGGGAGCAAACTGAGCCAGGAGGAGAGGGAAGAAGTGAGCTTTTAGTGGCTGCCAGTTCATTTAGGCCTACAGGCCGTCGTGATAACTTCGGATTATATGCCAGTGGCGATGGAAACTGTCCTTGAGGTCTGCGCAGAGGACTGACTTTTCAGAAAGATTGCTTTTGCTGCTGGGTGAGGAACAGGTTGTGAGGCAGTGGACTCTGACTGAAGCCTACAGGAAGAAATGTATTTACCTGTGACATGGAATACATAGTGAAACAGGAGTTTCACCCTGGCCGGTTTAGCTCAGTGGTTAGAGTGTTGGCCCACGGACCAGAGAGTCCCGGGTTTGGTTCCCGGGCACGTGCCTTGGTTGCAGTTTGTCCCTGGCCCCCGTTGGGGTCGTGTGGGTGGCAACCACTCGATGTGTTTCTCACATCGATGTTTCTCTTTCTCTCTTCCCCCTTCTCTCCCTCCCAGCTCTATCTGAAGATAAATGCAAAAAATGTCCTTGGGTAAGGATAAAAAAAAGAAAGAAACAGGAGTTTGAGCAAACAATACTACACGTGCACAATCTGGGATTTTTCTATTGCAGCCTAGTCTATTTCATGCTTTTACAGAAATTACAAGTAGAAGAACCTTATGAGAAAAAAAATTGAAATTAGAATTGTTTACTGGTGACTCATACCGTTTCATTTTCTATCCCAATACAAGTATTTTAAAATACCCCATGGAACACTAAACTTCACAATTAGCTTCAGGCAGCTTCTCAAGGGTGCAAATCAAAGACCACCTGCATGAAAATGACCTACTGGGTGGTGGTCAGAGAGGTGGTTATCAATGTATTGCTTACTGAATCAGAATCTCCTATAAACAGGGCTTGGGAATCTGCTTTTAACAAGCTTACCAGGAGATACGTACGTGAGAGAACTACTTGTAAATGTTTCAGTATTTTAAGGTAATAATGCAAGGTTAGATTTTTATTACATATATTATATATCTTTATATATATTATATACTACTTATGTATTATATATATTTAGTTATATATAATGTATATTTATATATATTTATCAATATATAATACATTTGCGCTGCCTGGTTTGGTTCAGCATTTGGAGCGTCAGCCTGTGGACCAGAGAATCCCAGGTTCAGTTCCCGCTAGGGGCACATACCAAAAAAAAAAAAAAAGTATATATATATATACACACACACACACACACACATATACATATATGTGTATATATAATACATTTACCAATATATAACATATAGATTTATCAATATATGATATGTATATTTCACTAATATATATAAACTCAGTG